TGAGTCATGTGGGTCCTTACACCCTTAGGGTCTCTTTTCACTGTCATCCACTGCAGCTTGGCGGAATTTCCCTTCCCTTCACTCCTATTGATGTGACGGGAAAGGGATGACCTACAGAGCACAAAAGCATTGTTGAAATTTCTCTGATGTTCCAGGAGAAAACCATTTAAGATGCCTACTGTAAGGATTGGAAAGATGACACCTCATTTTTCAAGCTTGGGGGACTCTAACAGGTTCAAGGATCAGCAACCAATGAAAAGGAGTAAGCAAAAGTTCCTGTTCCCTTTCCTTTCATTGTGTAATGAAAGGTTCAAGAAAGGCGAGCCTAGCTGACTTTATGCCCCAGTTTGAGATAGAAGAAGTGGGGAAGGAACAGATGAAATCATTAGTGATTTAAAATATAGTACAGTCATAACTACGAATTCCTCTGTCTGGGGAAAAGAGTAGGAAGAATGGCACTGAAGAGGCCAGTCTAACTGTGTGGGCAGTTAAAATAAGATGGGGCAACCAATCCCCAAGAGAATCTGACCCATGGAGAAAGGTGTCATCGTAAAAGCCCCTAGGACTGAGAGTCTAAGGCTGAGCAAGGGAATGAGGTCCCTCTATGTGGCATAGTCTAGCAAAGACCACAGGAAATAAAGACTTGGTCTTCAAACCGTATTGGAGATGAAATATTCTCCTCACAAGCACCCCCTCCTTCGTGTCAGCACCCTGAGACAGAGCTCTGATCACTCTAATTTAGTTATGGCTCTGAAATACGGTCCTATCACTACACATATGAGACCACAGAAGAGAGGAACAGATTAGGACAAAAAGAAGAAAAAAAAAAGGAGGCAGCATAATATGATGGAAAGGGCAGCGAAATTAAAATAAAAGAAAGACATGGGTTCTGGTTTTGCTTCTGATACTTTTTAACTGTGTCACTGTGGAAAAATCCCTATGCTTCTCTGAGGAGGAAGTAGACTGAGTTTGGGGAAAATACCTCTCAAGAAAAAGGTTAAAGAAACAGAGGGAATTTGTATAAATAGAGACCTTTACACTGTAAAGACATCAGGATAAGCCTTACTGGATTTCTATCTTGAAGGAGGTCTCCACTGTCATATGTTTAAAAAAAGGGGAAGGGGGAGGTTAATAATAACAGCTACCTCACAGGGTGGTGGTGATGATCAAAAGAAACAAAGTTTGTAAAGCACTTTGCAAACATTAAAGTTCTAGATAAATGTCAGCTGTCATTATTCCCAGACACAGTCTTGATTTTCAAAGATATATTATATCACTAGATATATAATATATTATAATTATATATATAATTATATAATATATTATAATTATATTATATTATTATATTATAAGATATTACAATTATATATATAATTATAATATAATCCTTTGAAAAGCTTTATTAATATTATAAAAATGTGCATAGAGATTCATTCATACCAAGATACTTAGA